AGCAACACCAGCAACACTAGCAACACTAGCAACACCAGCAACACCAGCAACACTAGCAACACCAGCAACACTAGCAACACCAGCAACATTAGCAACACTAGCAACACCAGCAATACTAGCAACACCAGCAACACCAGCAACACTATCAACACCAGCAACACCAGCAACACCAGCAACACTAGCAACACCAGCAACACCAGCAACACTAGCAACACCAGCAACACTAGCAACACTAGCAACACCAGCAACACTAGCAACACCAGCAACACCAGCAACACTAGTCACACTAGCAATCACACTGATAATACCTTGAGTCTGGCTGAGCGTAGATGACAGTGTAGCAGTGCCATCTTTGTTTGTGGCGCCACCTGTTGACTGACTAGAGCTGAGCTGGGAATTGTCATGTCGGCGTGGCGGCAGGGCATCGGACGTGCCATTACCGCAGCTGCTCCCTGCATGACCTTCCTTCACCACAGCCTCCTTTTTAAGATTCTCTGTCAGGTATAAGGGTGAGCCTCCCACGTACGCCTGAGGCACATACCTGCAAACACAAACCCCGCATTACATATTACAGTTTAAATCACTATTCACATCTTCCTACAACAGATTATAATGCTACATAACAATACACTGTGCTACTTGGCACCTCATCATCCTACACCAGACCATCATAAGATATCAGACTATATCATTCTACAACAGTACATCATAGCAGAACCAGTACATAACCTGCTATATACCAGACTCTATCACACACTAACCTGCTCATGGATGCTGGCAGGGTATGAGGGTAATAATCCGGATGTTTTCCTCCAGTCGTGTATGTCTCTACCTTCTCTCTCACACTCGTCTCCCTCTTACACGACCCAGCATCCCCGCCCACGACGGCGCCCATCCCAGCATGCCGCGGGGGCGACGGCGACAGTTTCACCTTCACCGGCGCTCTCTGGTGGATGATGTGCTTTAACTCCTTCGTCGGCGTCTTCTCGCCAGACAGTGCCTTTCCCTTGGCATGTGACTTTAGTGATGACGACGGCGTTTGCTGTGAGATCGGGCACGATAGGTGAGCAGTGCCCACACCCAAGGTCTCCTTCTTAATGTGGATGGCATCATCACTGGCCGGCCGCCGCTGTCGCTGTACCATCTCTCCAGCCTCCATCTTTACCTTGACCGCAGTCTCCCGCTGACTAGTATCAACACTGGACAGTAGCGCCCCCTCGTGGTCCTGCTTGATGACCGTCCCTTCATCGAATGCAGGAACGTACGTTGTAGCAAACACGCGGTTGCCTTTGCTGTGGCTGCACAGTGGCACCCCCACCTCACGATGGGTGCACGGTGGCACCCCCACCTCACGATGGGTGCACGGTGGCTCCACCACCTCACTGTGGCTGCACGGTGGTACCACTGCCTCGCTGTGGCTGCACGGTGGTACCCCCACCTCACTGTGGCTGCACGGTGGCACCCCCACCTCACTGTGGCTGCACGGTGGTACCACTGCCTCGCTGTGGCTGCACGGTGGTACCACTGCCTCACTGTGGCTGCACGGTGGTACCACCGCCTCACTGTGGCTGCATGACGGTAGCACCGGCTCACTGTGGCTGCATGACGGTAGCACCGGCTCAACGTGCGTGCGTGCGTGCGTGCGGGTTAGTGTATAATCACATACCTCATGAACGATACATAGTTTGCAATATGTGTCTACAATAACTGTGACTAAACATTCGCCGCCTAAATATCAAGTGCACATCTGCCTACTACTATATATATACATCACGAAGTACACCCAGCAGCAGTAGTGGAACCAGTAGCAGCAGTAGCAGCAGCAGTAGCAACAGTAGTAGTAGCAGTAGTAGCAGCAGTAGCAGCAGCAGTAGCAACAGTAGTAGTAGCAGTAGTAGCAGCAGTAGCAGTAGCAGCAGCAGTAGCAGCAGCAGCAGCAGCAGCAGCAGTAGCAGCACCAGCAGCAGTAGTAGTAGCAGCAGTAGCAGCAGCAGCAGCAGTAGTAGTAGCAGCAGTAGTAGTAGTAGCAGCAGTAGCAGCAGTAGCAGTAGCAGCAGCAGCAGCTGTTGTTGCTGCTAGGCGTTGTTCTAGCGGCATGTCTCAGCCATACATCACCAGCGATGGCAGAATGCAGCGCTTTTAAGCACACAAAACTAATCTAACGATAGCAGACGGGGCTTTGTCACAAACAATGTCGATATTAATTATAGATGATTAAACAGCTTAGCGGCTTTACTCGCGCCTGCTGGCGACTATGATTCAATATGCTGCAATAACTCAGGATATCCTAGCTGCCTAGCACATTCACGCACGCACGCACGCACGCACGCACGGACGCACTCACTCACGCACACACACGCACTCACGCACACACACGCACGCACGCACGCACGCACGCACTCACGCACACACACTCACTCACGCACACACGCTCACTCACGCACACACACGCACGCACGCTTATTCAGCTGGCAGCAAGCTTGTTGGCTCGCTGTTTCTATTTCGCACGGAATTGGTAAATAATGGAGTAACTGCGAGCATTTGTATTATGGGAAAATGTTAGAAATTTCATACACGTTCATAACACAATGTCGCGAGCGAGACCGCTATGTACGTCACCGCAGAAACTCCGACAAGAAGCCGTATTACGTCACGCCCACGTCACGACACGTCACGACACGTCACAACCCACGTCCCTGCTAGCAATCTCTGATGTTGTAAAAATGATCTATGTGAAAATTATGTGAAAATTATGAAAACGTGTGCCTCACACAGACATCAACTATCCATAGCAGTACGTCTAATATTTATATCTTCTAAGCCCGTGTTCTCTGATTCACTAGTAATAGCCACCTAACTGTGACACACAGAGAGACCAGCAGCACTGGATAAACATAAACCAGCAAGAGATGGCACGCGCGATAGAGAATAAAGCTAGCCATTCTAGCTTTAACCTTGGCTGGGTGGATCTTTGTGTAACTACATAAAACCACCCTGCGCCACATTGAAGCCGTTGAACCGGGTTTTAGCTCAAATATATATAACGCTGCTAATAATTTAATCTCCCAAATCATGTAAATTTGTCGATTCCAAAGGCTTCCATTTGATAAAACGCGCGACTCGGCGGGGTCTGATGTTAAACGTCTGTAGGGAATATTGATCATTCTACTCATAGCCTATCTTAATAGCTAATTTAACGAAATTAAACCAATATTAGCAATTTCGTTTAGCTTTAATTTCCGTAATTTAAATTATCAAAATAGCTCACGTGCGTGCGGAATTTTATCTCATATTCACGCTATGCTTTTATGCTTTCACGCACGCAAGCATGTCCGCAAATACAGTGGATAAACAGATGGGTGCATCACTTACTTGTTGCTGATTGAGAGGCAGCAGTAAATAGATCATCACAGTCTGACAGTGTCACCATAGTCCGTGCACTGGGCGAGCACGTCGCCATGGCAACCGCATCATCAGAGCTTGCGATAGTGATTGTCCCGTTACCAGTTGGTATGGAGATACTGCTGCCTTTCTTCATTGCATCCACAGCCGCGTCACCATTTATCACAGTCTCAAACTTGGCAGACGCTCTTTTGTTGCATGCACTCAGTCCAATTCGCAGCCCTGTGAGGGCGCTATCATCACAGCCTCTCATGACACCATTGTTGATTCCAACTCTCGTTCCTACTGAGGGGGCGCCACTCTCTACTGAGGCAGCACCACTCATTTCTGTTGGGGTACCACTTGTTAATAAGGGGGTGCCACTCACTACTGAGGGGGTGCCACTCACTACTGAGGGAGCGCCACTCATTACTGATGGGATGTCACTTGTTATTGAGGGCGAGCCAATCGTCATTGAGGGGGAGCCACTTGTTACTGAGGGGGAGCCACTCTGTGTGTGGTCCAGTGACACCTGTTCCTCTTGTTTGCTGGCTATAATAAAGCTAGCGCCACCTGGTGTCAATTCCCTGTGACTAGTGTTTGTAATGGGACTGTGTGCTGCACCAGCGCTGTGTGCTACACCGGGGCTGTGTGCTGCACTGTGGCTGTGTGCTGCACTAGAGCCTTGTGCTGCACTAGGGCTGTGTGCTGCACTGTGGCTGTGTGCTGCACTGGGGCTGTATGCTGCACTAGGGCTGTGTGCTGTACCACAGCTGTGTGCTGCACCAGGGCTCTGTGCTGCACTAGGGCTGTGTGCTGCACCAGGGCTCTGTGCTGCACCGGGGCTGTGTGCTGCACCATGGCTTTGTGCTGTACCAGGGCTAGGACTAGGACTATTCTCTTTACTGACCTCCCCTTTCCCCTGCCGGGTCTCCTTAACAAGATCCGGTTCTTCTTGCTGGACCTCATTACTCAGGTCCCGTTCTCCCCATTGGAGCTCCACAATGACACCTTCCTTCGAAGAGATTTCCTTCACGTCTTCCCCTTCCCCCTGCCAGGTCTCTCTCACAGCTTCGCGTTCGCCCTGCCGGGTCTCATTACTGATGTCACCTGTACCCTGTCTCGTGTCTTGTGTGACGCTCCCTTTCCCTTGCCAGGTCCCCTTCATGAGGTTGCCTAGCCCCTGCCAGGTCCCCTTCCTATCATCTACTTCCTGTTGGATTAGCGTCATGCTGTCACCACCAGGTGCCACTGTGTGAGGCCTGCGTTTCTCCTGATCGGTGGCGCGCCCTCGTGATGGCTTTCTCTTTCGCTCACAACTGGGTTGCGGCTCCTCCGACTTTGTTCGTCCTGGCTTTGGCTCAGTGGCACCCTCTTTCAGCTGTGCTGTGTGGTTGCAGGGGGCGCTGCCATCTCGTGTATGAAACGCGGCGTGGGCGCGTAGCGTGGCAGACGCACTCTGGTGGTCGTGGTGAGAATCAGGTGACAGCGGTAGACTTCTGTATGGTAGACCATACGGGCGGTACGTGTCTGTAATCAACAGCAACCAGGATGGGAATTATTATTGGGCATGGCCTATAGGTTCCAACTACACATATATAGCCTATATGTGTGTGTGTGTGTGTGTGTGTGTGTGTGTGTGTGTGTGTGTGTGTGTGTGTGTGTGTGTGTGTGTGTGTGTGTGTGTGTGTGTGTGTGTGTGTGTGTGTGTGTGTGTGTGTGTGTCTGTGTGTGTGTGCATCCGCTCGTTCGTGCGTTCATGAAAGCTATCGCACCGTCACTTAGTTAGCCGGTTTGCAATTAAAATTAGCCGTGGGGTTGTTAGTGAATATAGATGACTCATCCTGTATTCCTACCGAATTACCAATTTACCGCTTCACTTATTGTCAAGCGTTTGTTAACTGAAACGTTATCAAACGATATTAAAATATATATATATACATGTAGAAACAGCATTTAACTAAGGAAAGCATTTCAGTGAGAGTCACACAGCAGCTGTTATGAGTTCTCTTCATGCAACTAAAACCGTTTTTCTCTTGGCGATAACTTATTGCACTTGTGAACATCGACTCTCCATCAGTGCGGGCTCGGCTTACAAGAACACAACATGTGACGAGTAATGACATTGGCTTAGCAGTGCGCCTGGCTGATTCACCTATCATGAGAGAGAGAGAGAGAGAGAAAGAAAAAAAGAGAGAGAGAGAGAGAGAGAGAGCGCGTGTGTTTGTGTACGTGTGTGTCGCGTGACATATCTATACAACAATATTTAATTCCCATCATGTGCTCTCTGTGCCATCGCGGAAAGGTGCCACGCTGCGTTAATTGGAAGGATCTACTATTTTTTAAATACGATCTAGCTTGCTTAACATTGATTGTAGTTCCACTTCTAGCAGACAAATTATTTTGAGTGTTGTCGTGGAATAACTAGATGCACATGCGAGAGTACATCGTGATACACGTGGAGAATAAATTCAATCGTATGTAAATAGAT